TTCATGTGTTGGATGGTTTTAGTAAAACAATATTCATTAGGAAAATATTGTCGATGATAACATTTGATAACACATCTAATGCTAATGTTAGTTTATGATAAACTTCCCATACGATGCATATGATAATGTCATTATTAAATATCTTTACCAAAATCCAATTACTGATAAATAAGAATTTCGGTTCCATAATAAATTATTACATTTACCTGAGATTTCGCTATCGTGATATTATTTCGATCACACATTGGTGAGATATCAATGCCTAAGTCTCGTTCCCTATCGCCTTGCCTCCAATATTCTTCCATTATATTTTTTACCCAAATATTGTATAAATTGATTGGCTTTGTTGGATTTGATAAATCTGCCAAATGAATCATTGTTTGCATTATCTAAAAATAAAAGTGAAATAATTTAATCATAACATTTCAATACACATTAATATCAATAATTGATCAAATTATAGGGGAAATTTCATCTTATACGATAAAAAGTTAGTAATTTAATGGAAAAAAACCTGTATGCGATCCGTTTTATCCAATGTTAAAACTGATGAACCTGCGACTTTTTTTGCTTCAACCATAGTTTTCAAGTCAGCTAATATATTCATATGCTTTGACATATCTGTTGCTAACACCTGTAATTTGATAAAATTATTAGCTTTGATAAAGATTATAAATGTAAACTAATGATTGAACCTAAATAATTTTCAAGTATTAATTTTGATCTATTTTCACATTTATCTGTTTTTTGCTCGGTAATTTTCACATTTAACATTTGCATCAAATATATTTCGTTAATTTGAGAAAGAAAAAAAAAAGTCTCATGAAATTTTCTTAATAAGTAGATGATGTTAGCAAGCAGCAAATGTAGAATAACGAATTGAAGGAAATTTCGGAAATTTGCATTCTTTTTCTAATATATCTTTTTTTAAAAAATGAAAGATACAATTAATTCATTAATATGCTGTAAGTATTATTATACATGACAATTGATACCAAGAGATTTTACAAATTTTATCGATGCTTACTCCTCTTAAGCGTTTAATAATAAATTTATAAAACACGCAATGTTTCAATATTAAATTGTAAATTAAGTTTAATCAAAAATGAATTTCTCTTTTTCTTGCTCTTTTTTCTATAAATAAATTCATTTTTTCCTGCTAAACAAATTTCTAAATCATTAAAGTATAAGAATTTCAAACACAAATATATTTATATGTTGTAATGAGAAATAAATGAAACACGCGATAAGCTTGTTTGCCTTTTATAATAGAAATAAAGTTTATTTTACGAGAAATTAAAATAATTAAACATGTGCAATAGAACATATTTAAATTAGTACAGCATTCCTGTAAACACAACAACATAAATGAAATGTAAAAACAGAAAATGAACGAATGAATGAATGAAATGCATCAACGAATATAAAATGAAAATGTAATCATATATTGGAGGATTTAGAAATCAAGTTCAGTTATTTCACGAGTAAAATTGATTTTTAAAAAACGAAACAAACCATTTCAATTGTAAGCTTTCGAAATAGTTGACGTTGTTTTCTGTTAAGTGATACGATGAAATTACAATTGGAATCTTGCAATAATTTGAATGCAACCGCTAAATGATGCTGTTCCAGGACGGATTCATCATTGTACATTATTGCTAATTCCGAGTCTGCAAAAAAAAGATGCAAAAAAGGAAGAAAGAAATAAACTTACTTGATGTTTAAAAATTAAGAAAATCAAATTAATGGAAAGACAAATAAACGAAATATTCGTCTTAATTAGCTCTCTCAAAAGAGAAAAACAGGAATAGAAACGCAATTTTAACTCAGAAATGATCAATACATTATTATTTCTTTTAGAATGAATTTTTTTAGGATTTCTTCTAGGTGAACTGCTTTTAGAAATACATGTAAAATTTTTCTTTTTATTTCCTTAAATTTTATTTTAATATCAGAAAGAGAAAGATGCACAAATTACTGGTATTAATGAGGTGATGATTGGTAAAGCCGGGATGATCAACGTCATGTATGGCACCCGCAAATATCGATGCTAATACTTCCAATTCTGAGAAAACATTCTGAAAATTGAAAAATAATTCAAAGAAAAACTTTGTTTTTTACAGCATAACTATACAAAAAAATACATAAAGAGAATTAACTAAAAATACACAAATTACACCTCCTTTTTTTACAAAAAAAATACGATCTGGAAGAATGATAAAAAAGATTAACCATTGATTAAACAAAAAAAATTTTCAGAAAAAAAAATAATAACATTAATGATAATAAATTAATGATAATAATAACAATAACAATTATTGCTATTGATAACAACAATAATAAATAATAGTAAATAATGATAGTAATTAATAATGACGATAATAATAATGATAATAATAATGATCAAATTATCATTATTATTAATGA